TCACACTCTTCCAATGTTAAAGCTGCTCCACTCATTATTTCCCTCCCCCAGCTACCCAATAGGTTAGTGCTCGCATCTAAATTTATTTATACCAGATCTCTACTTCATGCATCATTGTGTTATATCAATTATAAAAATGTAGTGGTTGACATATCATATGAATTAGCCCATGAAAGGCATGGCTGCTGTAGTAGTAGGTACATGAAGCGTCAAACATAGTTTGACGCTTCATGAGTCTCACGATGCAGGAGGAGAGGCTGGCTATGCTAGATTACACAAAAGAAATTTTTTAGACATTATATTGTGTGCAATGATATACTGTCAATGGAGGGAATTGATGGCCAACCCCCAAAATAAAACCGGCCATTTTGAGCCATTACGTTGCTCAATGGCACATGACCACAAATACCAAGATTAACTTGTTATTTATTGTAAAAAATTAGAAAAAAGAAGAAAAATGAATCATTTTAGTCCCTCTACAATTTACTGCTGTATATAGTTATCTGTGAAATCAAGATGAAATTCAATAGTCTTGGTCAGTCATTTGTACATGTTCTTTTTATGCAGTAAAGTATTGATGATGCAGCATAGCATTAGACATTGGTCTCTCTTTTTGCATGACTAAGTTAGCCTGGGCAACTCCCGTGCATTTATACATGTACTCAAATGTACATTTATTTTATAGTCATAATTGAAATGAAAAAATGATACTAAATTAGCTATAGAATAAGCTAATAATAATAATTATTATTCAACTAAACAATTAAGAATGTGCAACAATTGTAAAGTGGTATTTTTTCCTGTTCATCTTCTTCAGTGGCTAAATATTCAGTTATTTCATCCTCTGAAAGTGGCTTCACTCTCTCACTGAAAGGACACTGATATTGTAACTCATTAATAGCTTCATACAACAAAAACTGAGGACCTAATGCACCTTCTAGTCTATCCCAATTCTCGTTGGCTTTGTCTACCTGTTCTCGTGAGGTGAATATTCCTCCATAGATGCAGGACCTTGAGCCCTCTTCATAAGCAGCAATAGCTTTGTCCAGTCATGACTGGTAATGCCAGTATCCCTCAGTATAAACTTGACCATCTCCTTGTCCACTTTATAAGCAACACGACCAATGAACCATCCTTCCATCTCAAGGCAGTGTAGTCTACTCTTGGTCTCCTCTAACAGTCAGTCAGTCACTGACAAGACAAGAAATGACTTCATTTAGCTGCTGCACTCTATTTTTAGAGTATCTATTTATGCATACAGTTTATGCACCATAATTATGATCTATGTTCTGATGCAATGTCATGTTTTCC